TAATAATATATGGACTAAATAGTTTGATATTTTACATTTGGGTAGGAAGTAATATATACAATTTTAGGTTTGTATTGATAGTTAATTTATTTATTTGGAATAAATAAAATTATATCCATTCTGAGTGAGAACTGAGAAGTACGCGTTTTTTGTGTGGACCCTAGCTTACATTTTACACCTATATATACGCATTATGTATTACTACTCTCGTATATCCTCTATTGTTATTTCTTTTTATTATTTGCTATTACTTTTAAGTTTTAACATCGTCATGTCAAGAAGTAGTTTTAATTCCCGACATGCAAATGCAGATGCTCCAATCGATATTTGGAAGCCGGTGGTTTGCCGAGTTTGTGATATCCCTTTTCCAAACACCAAACAACTTATGTACCATTTTGAAGATCATATAAAACAAGGTGTGGTCTTCTCACTTGTAGTCAATGGTGCACCAATGTATTTTGGACCACAAATTGCTCAAATCCGACCACATCAATCCACTTTTAACGAAAATGAAGTTGTTGCACCAATTTCTAAGGAACGTCTCATTGGTACTACTAATCGTCGTCAACAGGAAGTGCCAATGTTTTGTCGAGTTTGTGATGTCCTTTTCCCAAACACCAAACAACTTTTGTACCATTTTGAAGATCATATAAGAGAAGGTGTAGTCCTCGCACCTGTAACCAATTGTGCACCAATGTATTCTGGATCACAAATCGCTCAAATCCGACCGCATCAATCCACTTTTAACAAAAATGCAATTGTTGCACCATTTCCTAAGGAACTTTTCATTGGTACTACTAGTCGTCGCCAACAGGAAGTGCCATCAAATTTTGTTGGAGGGTCTGGCTTAAAGTCAGAAATGAACAACTTGAGATCATCAATGGAATTAAATCCTACCAGTGGCTCTCTACCTCTGTTGAATCAATTAGAAAAACCTTTTGAAGATGCAACCAAGTTTTGCTATTACCAAGAGAATGAAGATGCCAATTTAGCCCTTACTTTAAAGCTTTAGATAAATTTAATTATTGATTATTTATCTTATATTGTCTCTTTATTGTGTATTAGGATTTGGATATGATATTTAGCCTACTAGTTGGCTATTAAGTTTCATTCAATCATTTAATTTATGTTTGAATTTTATTTCTTAGTTAAAAAATACAATACATTCTCTTAAATTCAGCAAAGCTTTAGTGCTTTCTTTTATGTCTTTTTTAATTATTCCAATTTCAATTTCTTAATGTATTCAATTTGTTCACATTTTGATTATATTTTTTCAATTGAAATTGGTTGGTTGGGGGTTCACCAGGATTCAAAAGGTATATATGTGTAATTGTGATTTTTTTTTTTTTTTTTTGCAATCTTTTTGTGGGCTTCAATCTAGTGTGTGACTGTGAAGAACAAAAGGTAACGTAATCAAATCTCTCAATTTGCGTGTGAAAAACAAGCGACCATTGGGCACCATGCGTGAGATTCTTAACTATGTAGTTTTACTTTTTGAGTCAATTCCCAAAATGTCCTCCGATTATGGTATTTTCTCAAATTGATTCCTTGATTTTTAATTGCACCTAAAGTGGTCCTCTGACTATTGAATTTTAAGTCAAAATGGTCATCCGTTAAATTTGGTGTTAAAATGAATGGTAAAAAGGGCAGTTTATATTGTTTGTTGTTTAGAGCTTTGACCTGCCGATTACTTCCCCAAATTAGTGAAAAGATTTTCGCCAAGGAAAAATTGCAATTTGGGGAAGAAGGGGAAAATCGCAATTAGCTAGGTTTATATTCTTTAATTTGGGGAAAATCTTTTCACTAATTTGGGGAAGTAATCGGCAGGTCAAAGCTCTAAACAACAAACAATATAAAATGTTCTTTTTACCCTTCATTTTAACATCCACTTAACACCAAATTTAAAGGAGGATATTTTGGCTTAAAATTCAATAGTCGGAGGACCACTTTGGGTGCAATTAAAATTCAAGGAACCAATTTGAGAAAAGGCCATAGTCAGAGGACCATTTTGGGAATTAACTCTTTACTTTTTTGAGTACTATTAACTCTATTATAAGGTAGTATCTGTTCTATATTTTCTCAAACTACTACAGTCGACCACCGAAATTCGATCATGTAACCTTTCCTCGGGAAGTCATAGGGGTACCATCTAAGCACTTGTTTCCCCTCTCTCTCTCTCTCCCTCCCTCCCTCTCTCACTACATCACATAGTACTCTTTCTTCCAATATAGCAAGAAAAATCCATTTTTCCTTATTTGAAAAATCAATTCTTTTGCTAAAACCTCTCTCTCTCTCTCTTCTAATACATCACATTCTCTTTCTTTCAACATAACTAAAAAAAAAAAAAAAAAAAAAAAAAACCAAAATGGGTTGCTCTAAAGGCTCAAGGTGAGATGGGAGAGGTTAGGAGGTAAGAACCATGTAAGGTTTCAAAATAAGGTTGTAGCTTGGTTAAGAATGGTGGTGCCTCCAAATAGATAATGTCACACTAAGGTAATGGTGAAAATGTTCAAGATATTATTTTCACAGAGTTAATATCCAATTTAATTTTTGACTATAGTATTTTTTTTTTTAGTCCTAAACGTCTTTTTGTGCTTAATTGAGTCATAGACTTCAATGATTTTACTTAATTGAGTCCTCAGCTGTTACAATCAATGACTAGATTGAGAAAAACCACTATAGAAGAATCCTAAATTGGGTAAAATCACTATATATAGTCGATGACTAAAGTGAGTATCAATCGAAGAAAAATTAACAAAATACTCTAACAAATAACTCAATTAGGCAAAAGAATTCAAGTCAAAGACGCAATTAAGAACAAAAAGACGTTTAGGATTAAATTGAGAAAAACTACTATAGTTAAGGACTAAATTGAATATTAATTCTTTTTCCACATGTTGGTGATAACACTATTCCTTTAAATTCTTCTTCTAGTCATCCGATGGCTAATATACCTATTAAAGTGAAGAAAATGTGACATTAAGGCAAAATGAGAATTTGTGAAGTTTACTTTAATTCCCTCCCTATTACGAAAGGGGCAATTTGTGAGTTTGTAAGGATGCAGAGGGGGCAATTCTAAAAAACTAAAAAAGTCTTTACAACCCCCCTTCTTTTTCCTTTGTAATTGAGGTTAGATTACTAATGAGTTAATACTCATTTTGATCCCTCAACTATTAGGTAATACGTAATTTAGTCTCAAATTATTAAAAATATTCAATTTAGTTCTCTAAGTTGTAAAATCATACCCAATTTGGTCATTCGTTACAATTGTCATCCATCCACTGTTATAGAGAGGGGCAAAACCGTCTTTTATCTAATAGCCGAGGGACTAAAATGGGTATTAACTATTATTATTTAATAGTCGAGGGACCAACATGGGTATTATTATTATTATTATTATTATTTTTATTGTTGTTGTTGTTGTTGTTGTTGTTGTTGTTGGGACAAAGGCCTTGTTTGGCAATTAGCGGTTAGCGGTTAGCTTTTGCGAATTGTATTAGCGGTTAACAAATAGCGGATTATATTAGCGAGTTTGACCAGCAGATTGTATCAGCGGTTTGTAAAAATATGTTTGGTAAAATTAGCTGTTTAGATTAGCGGTTAACATGTAAAATGACCAAAAGGGTATAACAATAATAATAATAATAATAATAATAATAATAATAATAATAATAATAATAATAATAAGGGAAAATGACACTTTTTCCCCCTGAGTTATATACTTATAGCACTTTTTCCCCCTCAATTATTTAGGTAAGCACATTAGCCCCTTCAATTATTCTAAAAGTGGTTGTTTTCCCCCCTAATATATTAAATTGACATTTATACCCTTAAAATAAACATTTTATTTATTTTACTTCTCCAACAAATTATTGCGTATACGTAGGGATGACTACGATTCGGTTCGAACTGAATCGGACACTATAGCAATCGAATTAAAAGTTTCGGGTTATGATTCAGATCTAGAACCCAATATTTGGATTTCAATTTATTAAAATTATGAATCAAAAAAATTGGATCCTGAACCGTGAACTGGTGGTTCCGGACCCGATTCGCGATTTTGAACTGTTTTTATTTTAAAATTTTATTTTTATTTTAAAAATAGTCTAAATTCAACAATAAATGTATTTTATTTTTTCAGTTCGGAACATGAACCGTCCGTTCCGGGATTTTAATAAACTCTAAATATCGAGTTTCGATTCTAAATTGTAATTGGAATATATCGGTTTGGTTGCTATAGTGTTTATTTGGTTTGAACCAAATTATGGTCATAATTTGTTGGAGAAGAAAAATAAATAAAATATTTATTTTAAGGGTAAATATGTCCATTTAACATTTTAGGGGGAAAAACAGCCACTTGAATAATTGAGGGGGGAAAAGTGCTATAAGTATATAACTCAGAGGGAAAAAGTGTCATTTTCCCTACTACTAATAATAATAATAATAATAATAATAATAATAATAATAATAATAATACCCATTTTGGTCTCTCGACTATAGATAAAACCCATTTGGTCCCTCGATTATAGATAAAATGACCTTTTTGTCCCTCTTTATAACGGTGGATGGATATCAATTGTAACGGAGGACCAAAATGGATATGATTTTACAAGTTAGAGGACTAAATTGAGTACTTTTAATAATTTATGACTAAATTGCGTATTACCTAATAGTTGAGGGACCAAAATGGGTATTAACTCGATTACTACTTTACAATTTGAGTTAAGATTACTAATTTACTAATTGAGTTTAAATAAGAATTAAACCTATCTAGACTAAAAGCAAAAGCCGTTCCACTTGACCACAAGATAGGGTGCCTGGCTCCCCTCCAAGTATCCCAAGCACACTCCCACCTTAAAAAATTATTTCCAAAAAGTAAAGAAATTTAAATTAAATTTAATATCCATACTAATTAATAAAAATTAAATCCAATACAGAGTATAAATATTCCATATTGTGCCATCCTCCCTAGCAAATTGGATGATCTTTAAATCTGAAAATATTTTGAAAATAAGTATAAGACTAGTTCATTACTTCTGAGTCTTATTGATGACAAAATCTGGCATCACCTATATCCTCTTTTTGTCCTTCATACTCTCCTCTCCACTCCAACCTGCAAAAGGTTTTTCTGCAAAAGGAAATGAACTATTGTACATTGGCCATATTGCAGTCTTTGCAACAACTACTTAGTTTGCAAATAATCTTTCTCCAGGACCTTCAATTCAGATTGTGAAATGGAAATAATGATATTATCGCATTCAATGGCTGATGATACTCCAAGCATAACTAACTACAACCACTTTAACTACATTCATTCAGTGACGTTCTTGAACTTAAGTGGCTAATTGCTAACAGCCAATACCTGTTGAACTAGGCAAAATGTGTGAACACATGGAAAGTGGGGTGGAGGAAGAAAAGTATTGAGACTCTTCCAAGCATTCGAAATAGCTAAAACAAAGATAGCCTGGGTGAAGCTTTCTTGCCTAGGGTTGCCTCCCAAACCAATGGTAAGAATGGTCCTTTCTTGTTCAAGTACTCCCTAACAGCTTTCTCATCAAGGTAATAACCTTTTTGCCTCAGTGTTTGAATCATGTTCTGGGCATCCTCCAACGTTTTCTCCTTACAATACCCATCAACCAAACCAATGAACGTTGCTAAGTTAGGTGAATGTCCTGCCTCCAACATTTCCAGACAGAACCCAAATGCATCCTCCAATCTCTTTCCTTGACAAAGCCCCTGGATCAAGATGCTATAAGTGAAAGCATTAGGAATAATGCCATTGCTTTGCATTTTTCGGAAAATTCTCACAGCATCATCATGATTATAAGCCTTGCAGAACCCCTCGACTACAGCAGTGTATATAACTACTTCCGGAAGGGTACCCTTTTCACGCATAAGCCCAAAGAGCTTCATTGCCTCTTGAACCAATCCATCCTTGCAAAGCCCATCAAGCATTGCTACAGCATTTGGAATCAACCCAGCTTCTTTCATTTTTTTAAATATCTCATCTGCATCTTGCGGTGGAGGTGGTGATTCCTCAGCAGAACTCTCAGTACTCTCTCCTTTGAGAGGATTGGTATGATTTGGGTCGCTTTTTTCATGGTCAAATCCAAGCTGAAATCTCTTGAGAAAATCTTCGCCACTACTAGCCTGTGGACTCTGATTTCTATCTTGCCCATCAGGTCGGTTGAAACTAGCAGAAGGCCTCCCTGCCTGCCGTTGGCCCCGGGGAATAAACCGGGGTCTTCTAGACTCATCTCTCAATGGCCTATTGGGTATAGGCTCGGGAGGAGAAAAGTTCGACCGAGGGGTATTTGGGTTAGGAGAGCTGGGAGTATTATTGTAGTGTTGATGATCATCAAATTTGACAGAACTACAGACTGAGCGTAATTTCAGGAGCTGAACACAGCAAAGTGATTCATTCAGCAAGAAGGAAAGACTATGTTGCTGCTTAGAGTAAACCCTGCTGCCTCTCATTCTCAGCAATGCTGCCATGTCTATTACCTGCAAAGTCTTGACCACGTTATGAACTCTTTGAACTGAATACGAGAAGGTTAAATTATCCGCATGCCAAAGTACAACCCAACCAGGTAGCAGAAACTTCTATGGCTTTTACCCAAGAAGATTACCACTCTCTGTGACAGCAAACAGATGGAAATACTCTTCTCACTCTTTGAATGCTTCTTTCGTCTGCAGGCAAACCAGAAAGAGTAAGACAGCATATGTGGGAACAGAGAAGCAGGATAATGAATTAGTACATTCATTAGAAACATAATAAATACTTCACTGGTTTATCTATAAGCAAAAACCTAATCTTAGGTACCATGACTATGCACTCATTAGTCATTTGAATAGCATATAGCTGCTGGAGAACCATCATCAATGCTTTAATTTTATTTTTTATTTTTTCGGGGTGACAAGAGAAACCAGCAATCACTACCCAAAGATGTGCACGGTAAACCCGCCTTGTGACTCTAGCTGACAAAGGACTAGAATGAGGTAAACCAACCTAACTTGTAGCTCAAACCAAGAAGCCAATATGTTGCTGAAGTTGTAACCTTGTAGTTATAGAATCGAACAGCCTGACCAACTTAGCTATGTTGGTCTAATCAATGCTTTTAATTTTGTTCGCCAACAGTGAGTAACAATGCCACTAATCTCTTCCTTACCATCAGAAAACTAGCCCTTTAGACATAATATATCTATAATCGGCTTAAACAAGGATTCAAAATCAGGAATTTGAAATCTTGAGGATGGAAAATTTAGGGCAAATCATGTAATTTTACTTCTACAGCACTGGCGAGAATTTTGATTCCAATCGAACTACAAAAAACCGCGCCATTACTCAAAGGAACAATCAAACTCCGCCAAAACCCTATCAAAGAATATAGCCAAACACCCAACCAAAACCCGCTATAACCAGTAAAGATGGAAATAAATTGTATGCGATCGAAGAAATGAAGAAGAGAAAGATACGACGTACCGTCAATGGCACTTAGCTTCAAGTTTCATCTTGGCATAAAATTGGGCTTTCCGACTGGCGGCGCCAGTGAGGAAGATGGAATTAAATATTTTACGGAGTAAAATATTCAGGTCTTGATCTTGAGGTATTCAACTATTCATGTTCATCTAGGCAAGGAGTATGGAGTATCCGTGTATCACTTTATTCTTTTACATATTATCTTTAACCTTTTTAAATTTGTTCTTTATGCTTAGTAATATTTTTATACTATGTTACACATTGAAAATGTTACTTGAATTTCTAAATTCTGGTCTCTCCTCTAAATTTTTGATATAGACATTTTCTTGTGACACGCGGATAAGAGTAAGAATAGGCTAAGATGCTAGGCTTCCTTTTCCTATTTTCCACAATCCTTATATCGTGCACCAGGTGCATAATGCATTGTGTGTCCTAAAAAATTTCATTATTGTATGTACAGGATTGTATATATAATAGAATACATATAAACTCCTAACATTTAGTATGTAATTTGTGAACATTGAGTGTGTAAATTGTGAACATTAAATATGTAGATTGTATACTTTTGGACCCGGATCCACCTTGCAAGGTGGACCTGGCTGGGTCCATTGTATAACTATTGGCCATTTATCGGCAAATTATTCTTGTGCACCATGCATGGTGCACACGGTTGCAAAAATGGCATCGTTTTACTTTTTAACAAAAAATCATTTTCGATTGTCGTTAGTTACGTAAACATATGTTCATAATTTTATAATTTCACATTCTGAATGTATAGTTATGAAGTTATGGATGTATAGTTATGCAATTCTGAATGTATAGTTATGAAGTTATAATTTCACATTCTGAATGTATAGTTATGAAGTTATGGATGTGTAGTTATGTAATTCTGAATGTATAGTTATGAAGTTATGGATGTGTAGTTATGTAATTCTGAATGTATAGTTATGAAGTTATGGATGTGTAGTTATGGATGCAATTCTGAATGTATAGTTATGAAGTTATGGATGTGTAGGTATGCAATTCTCAATGTATAGTTATGAAGTTATGAATGTGTAGTTATGCAATTCTGAATGTATAGTTAGGAAGTTATGGATGTGTAGTTATGCAATTCTCAATGTACAGTTATGAAGTTATGGATGTGTAGTTATGCAATTCTGAATGTATAGTTATGAAGTTAATGGATGTGTAGTTGTGCAATTCTGAGTGTATAGTTATTAAGTTATGGATGTTTAGTTATGCAATTCTGAATGTATAGTTATGAAGTTATGGATGTATAGTTCAAATTATGCACAACATAACGCCATTAACGACAATCGAAACTGAATTATTTTTTTTTTTTAAGTTAGACGTCAAAACGACGTCGTTTTTACAACCATGTGCACCATGCATGGTGCACACGGTTGCACAGCATAACGCTCCCTATTTATCCAATTGGGCCATTGACTTGGCAATCATTATTCCATGGGCCATGGTCCACACATTTATGCGAATCATAAATAAAAAGTACATTTTTAATATATTAAAAATATATTATTTGTATACATAAAATATATTATTTGAAAGTACATGATTTTTATATATTATCAAATAATGTACATTCAGTACACAAATAATTTACTTTTAGTATATTAAAAAATAAAAATGTAGTTGTGTGGACCATGGTACGCACAATAATTTGCCTAGGCCAATTGGCCTGATTATTTATTGGGAGAATAACCATTTTATACCTTCAATTATTATGTTATAATAATGGTTAACTCAGCCCTTTAATTATATATAGTATCATATTTGGAAAAAGTGTTAAATTAGCCCCCTAAGTCGACTAGATAGTGCAATTGGATCCCCTAATAAATAAAAACTCCATTCAAATCCCCTAAACTTGTAAAATTGTTCAATTAAGTCCAAAATGACTTGTTTAACAGGTCAACTCTTCACATTGTTGACACGTGTCATTTTAAATTATTTTTATTTTTGTTTTTTTTATAAATTTTATTTATTTATTTATTAAAATTACACACACACACACACACATATATATATATATATATATATATATATATATATATATAATTTAAAAATAAAAATAAAAAACACAACCACCGACTGTCCTGCGAAGAAGTGGTTGGCTTAGACGGCCATGGCTTTTAGATCTGGAACGAGAGCGGCCATGATGCGACGGTGGAGGGGTTTCCTCTTCGCAGGGAGGAACTACTATCGGTTTCTTCTTCTTCTTCTTCTTCTTAGCTACGCAAAAGAGTCCAAGTGCGAGGAATGCTAAGAAGAAGAGACCTCCTAGTGACGCGCACACCACAATGACTACCGTATGGTACCCTCCTCCGCCTCCTGACGGTGGTGGAGACACAATGGTTCTAGATAACGGCGGAATGGAAGAGAACAGAGACGTCATAACGTAAGAGAATGGAGACGGCGATGAGGCATAGGGAGGAAATGATGTTAAGGGTGGCAATGTATAGGGTAATGGTGATGCTGATGGGCTAGTCGGTTTGGGATAGTGGGGATATGGAGCTGGTGTTCGGGGGCCACACGGTGGCTTTGTGGGTGGTGATGCCGGACTGTGATTTCCTCCCGGAGGTGTTGGGGTCGGTGGCATTATTGACTTGTTTGGCGGCGATGCTGCAGGATATGGTCCTTGTGGGGGCATGTGAGGAGTTTCGGGCTGTGATGGTGGAGCAATTGGAGCTCCCACTAGTGGCTGGTAATTCTTAGAGGGAGGCGAAGTTGGTGTTTCGGTTCTGGGTAGCGACGGTATTGGAAAGGGTTTTTGCGGTGGTTTGTAAGGTGTACCAAGCTGTGATGGCAGCGAAGTTAGTGTTTCAGCTCTAGGTGGCGATAACGGTGGCTGTCTCAGCCATGGATCTCGTTCTAGATCTGAAGGCCATGGGCGTCTCAGCCACCGACTTCCTCGCTAGACAGCCGATGGTTGTGGTTATTTATTTATTTATTTATGTATATAATATATATTTTAATAAATAAATAAATAAAATTTATATAAAAAAAGAAATAAACAAATATTTTAAAATGACACTGTGTCAACAATGTGAAGACTTAACCTGTTAAACAAGTCACTTTGGACTTAATTGAACAATTTTACAAGTTTAGAAGATTTGAATGGAGCTTTTTTAGTTAGGGGACCCAATTACACTATCCGGTCAACTTAAGGGGCCAATTTAACCAATCATTATTGTGTGGGCCATACTCCATACAAGTTGTGTGGACCATATTTTGTATACTATAAAATAATGTACATTTAGTATATTAAAAATGTACTTTATGTTATAGTCCACATAACATTATGTGGATCATGGTCCACACAATAATTTGCCCAATTTCACACTATCATATTTTGAGGATGGTCGCAAATTATGCCCTGGAAACGTGTTCACCGTGAATGGTGAACACAAGTCCAAACGACGTCGTTTTTAGGCAAAAAAAAAAAAAAAAAAAAAAAAAAATCGCGAATGTGAAGTTAACGGCGCGCCTTTGATCAAATTATGAATTTTCTGTTATGAGATTATGAATGTAATGAAAATTCATAATCGCATAAAAGTAAAATATTTATTAAATTATGAATTTTCTGTTATGAGATTATGAATGTAATGTAGATTCATAATCTCATAACAGAAAATTCATAATTTCATAACAGAAAATTCATAATTTCATAACAGAAAATTCATAATCTCATAACAGAAAATTCATAATCTCATAACTGAAAATTCATAATCTTATAACAGAAATTTCATAATATCATGGTTCCAAAGTGAATGTGTAGGCATGGTTCCAAAGTGAATGTGCAAGCATGGATTCATAATTTATGAATGTCCGTGATTTCGGACAGGAATGTGTAGGCATGGTTCCAAAGTGAATGTGCAGGCATGAATTCATAATTTATGAATGTCCGAAATCATTGCTCAGTGAAACTGTGAAATGTGAAAATGAAGAAGAAAAGTTACGCAATTAATTAAGAAAAAGAAAAAAGATAACAGTGTACTAACACCGTTGGAACCGTGAATGTATTCACCATGAATGGTGAACACGGTTCCATGGCATAACGATTGAACTAAAATGGTCATTCTCCTTTATTTATTTCATTTGTTTACTAACCAATTGCAGCCCGATTGTGCCATATTAAGGGCCCAAAGTCTTATTAAAATTGTATCGAATTATTTTTTAAGTTGTCCAAATTATGGTGGGTCTAGTCCATAAAAAATCATCAGTTTGATATAAAAATAAAAATAAACTTATGTTATTCATTATATGTTCTTCAAAAAAGTTTTGATACTTATATCAATATTTTGTTTAAATAACAACTTATACAACATTATTATTTTTTACAATACTTAGTTGCTATAGAATATATAATATCACTCTGTATTTCATAACCTTATGTATTAGAAATGTATGATTATCTTATTAATTAGGGAAAAGGGTCAAATAGACCCTTAAACTTTCATCAAAAGTGCAATTAGCCACTTGAACTTTAAAAGAGTATAATTACACACTTGAACTTGTTATTTTGAGGCATATAACCCCAGTAGCAGGTTATTTACCTGAAATAACCAGTCATTCAAGATTCCGGCGATATTCCGGTGACATTCCGACAAGTACAAAAAAATAAAAATAAAAAATCCGACGACTATTTCTACCGGAGAAGACGACGTCCGGTAGACCATTTTGGGTATTAACTCATAAATCATTCAAAGCTTGCACGATGAGCTCAGTTAGTATTTAAATAGTAAATTCTAAGCAAAGATACTGGAAGTTACACCCAATGTATGAGCTCATTGCGAACACTAGGCACTAATCCTCTCGATCACCTAAGAGCCGTTAAGTCAGGGCCTTGAGGCGATGAATTTTACCTTTTGTGGGCATGATAAATCGTTCAAAAGGTTAAAGTTAAATTAAAAAAAAAAAAGTCAATTATAGGAATGATCATTTGACTATTGATATTTATCAATTTTTACTCGACTTTCAATTGGAATGATCTCTTAACTATTGATATTCACTAATTTTCATCCTTAGCTTTACTTTCAATTTGACCATAAATGGTTCCTTGATTATTAATTTTGTTCCAAATTTGGCCAATATCCATTTAGAAAATATTAAATTTAATGGTAATAATGCAAAAATTAATTTGTTGTTGAGATGGACAAATTGAATTCATAAACTTAATACATTAATGTTGAGGTTATGTGACATTCCCTAGGAAAATTATATAACATGAACCAAGCATGAGAATCTTATATTCCCAAACAAATATAGCATCAGTTATCTTATATAAATTGAACCAAACACCCCCTAAGTTCATCATTAGTTGGAATGTGCAGAATCAAAATTTTACATTATCCCCCTTACTAATTAGACATTTAACTGAATGACCAAATTTAGAACAAATGAATAGTCAATGGACCATTTATAATCTAAATGAGAGTTAAAAATAAAAACAGGTAAATGTCATAGTCAAGTGACTATTTATGTAATTAATTAACTCAAAAAAAAAATCATTGTAATTGTTATAAAAAAATTATGTAAAAGGGAAATTGAATTTTATGATGAATCATGAATCGTGTGTGTATGTATATATATATTGTCCAACTATGTTTTTAAAATTAAAATTTATACCATATTAATGAATACTATATACTGATAAACCTACACATGCATATGCATATGTATTCGTCAAAGGATTGTTTATCTGTAACATGCCTTTTAATTTCACATTCAATATAAGAATCGCTGAACGGGGTTTTGATATAAAATTTGAATCAAGATTGTGTGTGTATACACGGTTATTATTTAGTTTGAGACTTAAATTATAAATAGTTAATACTATAATAAGTTGTGACGAAACATCTTCACCATGAGAAGGTGAGTGAAGCAAACGTATTAAATCCTCTAATGTGGATTCAAACGGATTAGCGCGTAACAATAGAAGAGGAAGGGGTTGACATTGGTAATTCCCATGTTGTGGGATTGACATCAAGTGTTTCTGACAAGTTGATTTGATCCATTTGCATGCGATGTATAGTTTGCATGTCAACGAGGAAAATAAGCAAAACTAATGAGGAAAAAAGACTTAACTCAAATTGAAGTTACTTTATTGGCATTCAGGCAATAAAAACAAAAGGGCCAAATCAGGCTCAACTCTATAGTTCTTGGCTAACCAGTCCGAAACATGATTTTGATTATGAGTGATGTAATAATGATATACTATCAAATCTCGGATTATAGCATACCAATTGATCCATGCCTATTTACAACCAAACTTAGAGAGCATTTGAAACAACTTAAGATTACTAATCTACAAAGAAAAAACTACATATTGAAGTGATAATAGATATCTATCTATCTACCAACCCATCTCACTAAAGCAAACAACATATCAGTTTCAGAGACTATTGTGAGCTGGATTTCTTGCAATAATATCAAACTGTGTATACACTAAGATGTTGAGTTTGATCAGATTATTGATGTTTGATCAGGTGTAGTATGACGACGAATATCAGGCAGATCCGAACTAGTTGAAAACTTGAGCCATCTTTTCTTCTCGACGTGCTTAAGACACGGCTGCAATGCCAGCCCGATGGCGACTGCAACGAGGCTTACAAGTGCAACTTTAGCCGAGGAGAACGCCAAGACGACGCATATGAGCAAGGTAGGCGGTACGCACATCAGAAAAGCTCCAATTGTACCAAAGGGTATCTTGTAAGGTCGCGGGGCGTTAGGCTGCTTAATTCTCAGCCAAATGAAAGCTATGAACTCTAGTATCATTCCAAAACTGTACAGGAAGTTCTCTGCTGCTATAATCTCCTGAAAGCTGAGCCAGGAGAGTAAGATGACCCCGGATGCTGAGAAGAGGATCCCGATGAGTGGGGTTCCATGGCGGGATCTCCTCGCGAAGAACTCGGGGAGCATCCCTCTTTCCGCCATGCCAAGAAGCTGAAACGAGTCGCTGCTCATCTCAGCCACGAACATCCCTATGTTCGACACTGCTGCAGCCGCTTCAATCCACCATCTTAGCCACGCCCCGCCTATGATTTTCGCTACGTCTGAGAAGTACCCGTCGGTCCATTGGTCACGCTGGAGGGGAACGGCTCCGGTCCCGGTTAAAACCGGGAAGAAGTACCCCAAAACCACCAGAATCATGGCATAAAACAAAGCCCTTGGCAGGGTTTTCTTTGGGTTTTCCACTTCCCCTGCTAAAGTACTTATTGAGTCCCAATAGTTGAGGTTCCAAAAGAGAGTGTTGAGATATAGATTCCAATCTACATTATGGATATCTGCCACCAACCATCTTTTAGGGCTTATCTTGGGAATGGAAATCAGCCCCATAACCACAAAGGGAAGAATTGAGAACACCCCAAGAAGAACAGCAAAGAACCCCACAACAGTTAAACCCCTATAATTCAAGAAAGTGAGCACAACAGTCAAACCCAATACTGCTAAAACCCTAGGAAGGCCACCAGATAGTGCTGGGATCTCAGATTTGAGATAATCAAGAAACATAACAGGGTAGAGTGCATTATCAATAACCCCACTCAGCCATTTCATCCAACCTTGCTGAAAACCCCAGAAAGGGCCCAAAGCAGAAGAAACCCACACCACATAGCCACCATTTTCAGGGAACATTGTGCTCATCTCAGCTGTGATCAGTGCCTCTGGGACACTCCATATGAGTGGGAACAACAAGAATCCAAGAAGAGAAAGAAGGGGGCCGGCTGCCCCCACGCTATCCTCCACGCCAAACGGTCCTCCCGATACTTCATAGAAAATGATAAAAACTAAGGGCAAGACTGAAACTTTCTTGCCTCTGTTTTGTCTGGGAGGAGGAAGATGAAGAGGAATAGGAACAGGAACTTCGTTAATCACTGCGCAGCCATTACGTTCCCCAGTTGAAAATGGAGTCTCTCTGTTAGGTGTACCCCTCGATTTCTGCATTCAGTAAGACAAAACACACAGCCCGAATCAGAACAACAACATTTTCCTGCAGAAACTAATTTGTTTTTCTTCAAAGCCCCAAAGCGATGGTGTTTTTCCCTCTTCAACATCTAATGCACATCAATTTAAACCTAGGATGATAATGAGTCAAGGATGACTATATTCACCATCGATTCATCTAATTCACCTTAATACTTTCTCCGTTAACGGTAAACTGTTTTCAAAATCTACATTGGGATGTGGGTATCTACTATGCATACTTACCATTTATTATTTTATTAAAATGTTTCTTTAAATTTTTTTTTTTTTTCAAATAAACTTATCAGTTTAAAACTAAAAATAGTAAAAAGTTAATGTCAGTTATAAAGATTTTTAAAACTAACTACGGAGTCTATACTAATATACTTGTTATATAGGGGATGGTTCTTGTGCGGATGACTCCTTTCGTGCAGACAGATTATGACTATTAGATGAGCTTACATTAACGGCGGAAAATCAAATAAAATGTGGACAAAAGTGATGACATTTTTATAATTTAAATGATATGCTGGTGCATTTAGATATGTTTGGTAATGCATTTATATATGATTGGTGGTGCTTTGAGTCCAAAGCATTGTAAGGTATCCAAAGATAAACCCTTAGTGCACTATATGCAGTCGTTATATCGTAGACCGCGGTGCCGCTGTAAAAAACGGCTTTGTTTCTTTAAGTAAAAAAATGACTCGCCGTTACCGTTAACGGAGTCCGCATGTTTGGTGTATTAAACACCAACTGACACTACAGTATATCTAAACTGACATTGCCTCGCGTATTATTTTTATATTATCAAATGAAACTCCAGTTATATAAAAATGATACTGTAGTTGTGGTGAAATGAAACTGCAGTGTATTTAAAATGAAACTGAATAACATTTCACATATTTGAGTGTATATTGTAAAATGAAGCTGTAATTATATCAAAATGATCATGTAGTTTTGTTTTAATAAAACTATAGTGTATATAAAATAAAATTAAATAACTTTTTCACATATTTAAGCCTATAAATATCGGATGAAACTGTGGTTATATCAAAATGAAACTGTAGTTGTGTTAAACTGAAACTGTAGTGTATACAAAATGAAACTGAATAATAGAGTTACTTTTTGCGAAAGGGTGCGAAACAACGGAAAACAAATGCCGTTTCTTTTCATTTAACAAAACGACGTCGTTTTGATGCGATGTGCATGATCGATTATGCACCGCAGTGCACGATATAATTTTCCCACTATATGCCAATCCCTTGGTGCACCACACAACGGGGGCATCAAACTCATGGGTCACAGGGCATATCGACGGGTTTAATAGACCTGTCAACAAGTTCAATAGACCGGTTGGTCCAACAATAATGCTCAATGTGCCTATTGAACCCACTGCACTTTTTTCAGCCACTTGGCGGTGCACCACGAACCAACGCTTAGTACACCACAGAAATATACATGATGCACAAAATTATCAAAATGACATTGCTTTTTTTTCCCTTTCCATCGATTTTCAACCACTTGGCGATACACCACATACCATCGCTTAGTACACCACAAATCAACGCTTAATGCACCACAGATCAGCACTTTGTGCACCACAGAAATATACATGGTGCACAAAATTATAAAAATGCCACTGCATTTTTTCATCTTCTCATTAATTTTCTACTGTTGATCTCAGCTTATCTGACGGGAGAAAGTTACCGCATCTTATCCGATTTTCATATATATATATATAACATGGTGGGTCAAGTGAGATTGTATACGAGTTTTGTATATAAACACCGCATCCAATTCGCTTCATTATAGGTTTAATATTTTAAGTCTCACCCTTGACCTATCACTTACTATCATGCACCCAAAAAATCTCCGTTCATCCAAACTCATAACATTTTTGTACTATGCATCTTTATTTTACTTTATACTATTTTACATAACAATCAATCATAATACTACTGTATACTTGTTTTTTTTCTTCCTTTTCTAACATTCTACTCCATCAATAAGAAGTGAATGTTGAAATGACCACATCTATTATTAAAGGGATCCACAACATATTTCACAATGAACATTTCTTCATTCATTTTCAAACATATATCATGTTGTGCCGAGGCTCAAGTATGGATGCAAATGTGCAATGCAATGCGCCTTATTGAGGTGGGCAACACGGTGACGCCACCTGGCGGGGTCCACCTCTGGCCCATTAAACATACATGGCTAAATGCAAAAAAGTCAAGTGCATATTGGTCCACTATGACAATACAAATAACTCATCTAAAATATAGTTGACCTTAATGCAAGTGGAGCGTTATGCCCTCAACCCGTGTCCACCATGTGCATGGTGGACACGTTGTACATTCATAATTTTTATATTCTAGATTCATAATTTTTATACTGTAAATTCATAAAATTTAATGTAGATTCATAATTTCTATACTGCACATTCATAATTTCTATACTGTAGATTCATAATTTCTATACTGCACATTCATAATTTATGTACTGTAGATTCATAATTTCTATATTGCCTTTGGGAGCCATGAGGGTGGCCGGGCGGGCCCTCAGAGTTTGAAAGTGAGGATAGCAAAATAAAATTTATAAAAATATTGGGGAAAATGCAAAAAAATAAATAAAATAATAATAATAATAATAATAATAATAATAATAAATAAATAAATAAATAAATAAATAAGAAGAAAGTTCGAACTCATAATGACGCATATACATTCAACATATTAATTAATTGACACCACTTTTCAAAATAAGAAACATAAAATGCAAATGCTAATAATTATGGGAGAAATGCGTTACTTTTGGACCACATCTTTATTTCTTGTGCTAATTAAGCTTTCATAATATATGTTTATCTAAAAAAAAATTAAGATACTGCATAATATCACAAATTATTATGTGGATCCGGTTCACTTTGCAAGGTGGACCTTTGTTTATGGTATAACAAGTGACATAATATTGCGTGTTTTATTTAATAAAATAATGTTAAACTTTTCAATTATTTATAAAAATATATAAGAGAAATATAATTTTATCACATACAAGACTATGTACATTACCAGCACCTCTCACACGTTCTTTTGTTTTCATACCAAAAGAACTTTTAAATATTTTAAATTGAATAATGTTATTTTTTATATAGAAATAAAAAAAATAGAAATTTTTGTGTGAAATTTTAAATTTTTAGGTATAATCAGAATCCGGCGGTATAAAATGGGAAAGAGCATAATTGTGAGGACCACGTGACCCCAAAATGGTGTGTCATCACTCATCACCCTATGTAACAATAACCAGAAATGAAGGGATGTGAAATTAAAGATAAGTGCAAGATTATCGCCTACGATACATTAAAAAATGCAACTCATCAACATTTTTTTTTTTTTTTTGGAAAACATGTTATTTTCCTATTAATTAATTAAACACTGTTTCTAAAAGTTGAATCTCCAACTCCAAAGGTCCCCTACGTTCCAGCCTAACAAACGTCTCATGAACCCTCATTCGTGAGAAAGGTTGAATTTTTGAAAAATATTACATTTTTCGACACAAGTATTACAATTTTCATAATAAGTAACTTTTCAACTCTTAATATTATATTTTGATTTAAAATATTACATTTTCATCAAAAGTATCACATTTTTCGTTATAAGTATTACATTTTCTCTCATAAATAACAATTAAACAATTTATTCATTCTTTTAAAGTTTCACCTCTGTGACCAGTCGAGCTGTCCATGCGGGTAAATATTAATACGCACGCAGTATTATATTTTTCATCATGCATGATGAGTAACTATTCAGTCGTAAATATTACATTTTAATTTAACAGTATTATATTTTTCCCTATAAATAATAAACAATTTATTCATAATTAGTATTACATTTTCTATATAAGTATTACATTTCTATTATTACTCTTTTAACATTTAATGAGAATAGTTTTAGTAAGTGAGAGTTGTCAGGTCAGATAATATATCTATGACAATCGAAACAGTAATATAACATCATTGATTCATTGATACGATCATAAATAATCTAAAATATAATTTGATACAGAACAATTTTTTCGTAAGTTTGACTTCTTCTTTTTATAATACAACATAAATATTATTTCATTAATTTTTTACTTTGGAGATTATTATATAGCTAGTGGAAGTGTGGAACACAAACTGCTGGACTTCAACTTTAACGTATGTAAATTCCGTACGTTTCTACTTTTAATGAAACAGTTGGATTGCGCTATGTTATCCTACTACCTCACGCAACTAATTAACTAAAAGTCTAAAACCAATTAATTACCATCCTAATAAAAAAAATAAATAAATCTTAAATAAGAGGTCACAGTTTCGAATTTCAGTGAAATATTGACTCTTTGTAATTTAATACGTTTAAAAAAGTATGTATAAATAGATATTACATTATAACGGAGTTAATGATACTAAAAAAAACTAATTACAATCCTAATAAACAAAAAAAACTCTTAATTAAGCCTCTACCTCGACTAAATCACACGATTATGTCATCTTATGTCCTCATTAGTTACCAGGACTATGTGGTCTAATGGTATCCGGGTTGGACTTCTATTTGGAAGATTGTGATTTCGAGCCTCAGTGGAGGCGTTATTGGCTCTTTGTGTTTCAGTAGATACTACATTGTAATAGAGCTAGTAGCATTCAAAAAAAAAAAATGTCCTCATTAGTTGTTTCTCATTATTAATTATTACAAAATTAATTCACTTTATTTTCCCTTATTTTTACATAATAAGGAAAGAAAGTATGACGAGAATATATACGTTTTGAGTCAATATCATTTTAGTAATTTTATATTGATCAACTTTTGTTTAAATATTGTATTTTTTTGTCACTTTTGGTCATCTAGTAGATTTTTTGGTAAATGTCTATTTTGATTTTTGAGACAAAGTAAAAAAAAAAAATGTAATTTCATAATTTTATCCTCTTAAGTCATTCCAATTTTTATTTTTTTAAAAACCCCCCTAGTCATCACAAATTATTCCAACAACTTTCTCATCTTAAAATGATTTCCTCTTGTATTCCATAATTTGAAATGATTTTTCAAAAAAAAAAAAAAAAAAAAAAAAAAGACTAGCGTAACCCAGCACTAAGTATAAATTAATTAGGCTCCTAATTACGGTGAAACTCTAAATTACAGAAGAACAAGCGAGCTACTTTTTGGGCGCCGCCATGTTCATACTCACAAGGTCACATCACAGAGCATATATATACAGGAAAAAGATTCAAAGAAGCACAAAAATCAAAGCCGAATCCGATCGAAACAGAGAATTATGGAAAAGGAAAGGCGATTTACCTCATCATTGTTGTGGTCAGAGCAAATGTTTGGGTGGAGTTGTGGTTGTTTGTTGTGACCATTGGTGGGGATCATCTCAACGGTGGACGGCGGCGGGCCGTCGTTGTTTGAGCCAATCGGCGCCATTTGATTTCAGGCTGTCGGGTCTGATCCGAGAATGAATGTCAGGGAACAGGGGTGAAGCATAGCAGTGGAAGACCAGGTGAGAGAGATGAGCAATAAGGAGACACTATTAACATGCTACAATTATGAGATGATATAATATGAGGAGCGGTGGGTGGGGGGGAGTTTATAGGAATTATAGGCTATGAAATTCAGAGAGAGAGAGAGAGAGAAGATAAGTAATAAATCCAATAATGGCTATTTTAAGGGGTGTGTGTATATATGGTAAATTATTGTGTGGATTGTTATTCCACACAACTAATGACGTCGCTAAATTTTATGAGTTAGAATAATGAAATTTTTAGAGTAAGATAATATACATTATGTGTTAGAATAATGAAATTTTTAGGGTAAGATAAAGTACATTAAGTGTTGAAATAATATACTTTATGTGTTAGAATAATGTACATTATGAGTTATAAAAATATATATTGCAGCAGGTCGTCATCTACTAGAAAAGGCGTCCCCAACTGGTCGCCTTCTATGGTAAATGGCGACTGGTGACCGTTCGATCGTCGCGCGGTTGCCGGAGATGGATAAAATTGATGCCGGAACCCTAATAACCTGTAATAGCATATCATTTACGGAGTATTAGTTTTTGGATTTCATCGTTTCAATATAACCTAGACCCGGCAATTATGGACACAACACGAAATCGGACACGAAATAACGGGTTAGTGTTTAGCCTTAATGTGTCCCGGGTTGTTAACGGGTTGACCCGTTATGTTTCGTGTCTTAACGGGTCAACTCGTTAAACCTATTAAGAACCCGTTAATATTATCGTGTTAACCCGTTTACACAAAACTGTTTATAACCCGCTAAAAACCATTGTCATGAATGCGATTACAAAAGATGCATGTTATGAACATGACTAATGATCAAGGATCGTTATGCTGTGCATCCGTATGCACCAAACATGGTGTATCCGGATGCAAAAACGACGTCGTTTTGATGTCTAACTTTAAAAAAAAAAAATCAGAATTGCATAACTACACATCAATGTTGCAAAACACGCTAGGCGCCCCCTAGGCGCCGATTTTTTATTTTTATTTATTATTATTATTTTTTATTTTTTATTTTTTTAATTAAAAATAAAATTTAAAATTTAAAATTTTTAAAATTTAGTAATAAAACATAAGGTTTCTATAGTTATTTCTTAGAAATTATTTACGAAAGTGGTTGTAAAAGTGTTCAAAAGATTGTTTAAACCATCTAAATACATAAAAAACTAAAATTAAGAGCTAAAGAAGCATTTTTTTGAGAAATTAGTGGACCAAACCGCCTTCGGCAGCGGTGGATAGATCTCGAAAAATACGCGATTTGAAAAAAAAAATTGTCCAAATCGGACAACCGAGTCAAAAGTTATGCCTTCCGAAACTTTTCCGACATTTTCAAAAAAAAAAAAAAAAAAAAAAAAAAAAAAAAAACCGGCTAGGCGGCCGGCCGCGGAGGCCGTTCCTCGCGGCGGCGCAATGGCGCCTAGGCGCGATTTTTGCAACATTGCTACACATCCATAATTTCATAATTATACATCCAGAATTACATAACTACACATCCATAATTTCATAACTATAAATCCAGAATTGCATAACTACACATCCATAACTTCATAACTATACATCCAGAATTGCATAACTACACATCCATAACTTCATAACTATAAATCCAGAATTGCATAACTACACATCCATAACTTCATAACTATAAATCCAGAATTGCATAACTACACATCCATAACTTCATAACTACACATTCAGAATTGCATAACTATACATCCAGAATTGCATAACTAAAAATTCCAGAATGAATGAACTAAAAAATGAATAACATAATGTTGTTGTTGGGAATCGAAACTGATTTTTTTTAAGTAGGACGCGCGTTTTGATGCAAAACGACGTCAGTTTTGCATCCGTATGCACCATGCATGGTGCATACAGATGCGGTGCATACGGATGCACATCATAATTTGCCAATGATCAATTTACAACATTAGGCCAAGATCCTACACCAACTATTGATGTTCAACAATCTGAATTTTGAATTTTTGTTGTGTTTAATTATGATTTTTGGATGTTATTTTATCATTTTATGAATGTTATAAATTGAATATTTTTTTTAATTTGTTTGATGCATTGAATTGTAGGTTTTATTTATTTTTTATATAACTTGACTTTATATTTTAGTTTTTTTTTTAATATATATATATATATATATATATATATATATATATATATATATATATATATATAGAGAGAGAGAGAGAGAGAGAGAGAGAGAGGGGTTTAACGAGTTTAAACGGGTTTCGTGTCATATCGTGTCGACACGACTCAAAAGCTGTTAACAAAATCTATGTCAACACATTTAACCCTTTAACAAATTGAGTTCGTGTTAAAAATTTGAACCCGTTAACCTTAACGTGTCGTGTCGTGTCCGTGTTTAGCCTTATCGTGTTCGTGTCGACCTGTTAACGAATCCGTATACACGAATTGCCAAACCTGTTAAAAGGGTGTACGTAATTGCACTTTTTAAAAATTTAAGGAACTAATTGACTTTTCAAGTAAAGTTGATTTATATATGTGTATGTGTTCTAAATATAAACTATTCGTCCGAGAAGTAACAGTCATACTATAATTTTTTGTTTTGAAACAAGTCATACTATAATTTGAACTATAACATAATAGAAATAAAACCTTTTTTTTTTTTCTTCATAAAATTGGGGCAGAAAAAAGAAAGGCTAAACCATCAATTTCACTACTATATTATCAAACATATCATTAAATAATTAATTTTGTTTTATCTTAATAAAAATCAATTTCCATTCATATGTTTTCAATATTTAAGTCAATTTGATCATTTTATTACTTACATTAAGGGTGTGTTTGGAAACCCGAAAAATGATTTCTGGAAATCATTTTACGGGTTTCCTGTGTTTGGCAAGAAGGAAAATGCTCAAGTCAATGGAAAATAGAATTTGGTCAATGAAAAATAGACCCATTTTTAAGGAAAACAACTTCCCCTTAAAAAAAGGGGAAGTCATTTTTCAGATATTGACTTCTTCATTTCTTCACGTCAAAAACATTGACTTTCTTCATCTTCATTGGCATCTTCATCCTCTAGCTTTTAGGCTCACTAGTTTCCGACAGGTTTCCGCCGGAAACCTGAGCACTGGTTTCCGCCGGAAACCAGAGGTTAAAAAAAAAAAAAAAAACATCTGGTTTCTGCCCAGATCTTGGTTTCCGGCGCGAAAACCATATGGTTTCAGTGTGGAAGTCATGGTTTCCGCCGGAAACCATGAGTTCCGCACAGGAAACCATGTCATGGTTTCCGGCGGAAATCAAATCTTGGTTTCCGCCGGAAACCAATTAATATTTTTTTATTTTTTTTAATTTTTTTAATAAATAATGTTATTTGATTTTTAAAATAAATATTATTATTTAGAATATTATTGTAAATTTTATATATTTTAAACAAAATAATTAATTATATAAAATGTTTAATTATATAATTCTACATCATTTTCAGAAAATGAGCCAAACACCAAAAGACAGTTTTCCATTTTGCAGCCAAACACAGAAAAGAAAAATAACTTTTGGAAAATGACTCATTTTTCAGAAGTCATTTTCCTGCTTTCCAAACGGACCCTAACAATACATCCAAATGATTTTAAAAAAAAAAAAATTATCCCTTTACTGTAACCCCTTTAACATGCCACTTGTAAATATTAAATAAATAAAAAAATTTAACCTTGGGAAAAAAAAAACATAACAAAACGAAAAACAAAAACAAAACAAAATATATACTTTAAATCATCAATTTCATTTAAAGATAAGTTAGCAAACTAAAAAATGTTAACATCTTTGCATCCAACATTGTTTCACACATGTATCTTGTGGTTTGATGACATCCCTGTTACCAAAGTTTCATCCCAATCGAGAATGATGACATATTATGTTGACCAAATACTAACATTAGGCTAGATCGCAATAATAAAAAAATAAAATAAAATAAAAAACATTGTTTCAAACCCATGCTGCCATGCAATGCATTTCCATTTTTTATTTGGATTGGAATTTTTAAAAATGAGTTGGGAAAATTTCTAATTTGTGTGCATTATTTTTTTCTTTTGGAATTTGCGCTGGAAATGAGTTTTGGACACATGAAACCATTTTATGATTTTTTTAATAATAATGAAATGATCCAATTTTTTTTATTAATTTAAAAAAATGACACATAAACATTGTCAGATAAGTTTCAACGACTTTTGAAGACAAAATGTTTTCGAATGAGTTTCAAGTTTTAACGAGTTTCAGAGACGAGACGTTTTTTAAACGAGAAAACGCATCCTCACGAAGTTTTCAACTTTCCATGCTATACAGAAAAACAATAATAGTAATAAATGAACAAATTGAGTGAAATATTGAAAACATGATAATATACTTGACTAAAAACTACGGCGAGTCAACATTAATTGGGTAATGAAAATAACATATGGGACTAAATTATGGTATATTTGATAATAAAAAAATGCAAAATGTGCTTTCTAAATATTTGAACAAGACAGATTCACTGCCTTGTATCAATCATTATTATGTGGATTATAATCTATACAGCTGTGTAGACCATATTATCAAGTAATGTATATTTAATACATAAATAATGTACTTTTAATATATTAAAAATATATATTTTATTCAGAAAAAAAGTATATTATTGAGTACTGAAAGTACATTATTTTGCATAATATACATTCAGTATACAAATAATATACTTTTAATATATTGAAAATGTACTTTTTATTATGGTCCATACAGCATTGTGCAGACTATAGTCCCCACAATAATTTGCCGACTTTAATTTGTGTACCTATTTTCATTTAATAATTTAATTAAGTACATGCATGAGAAGGACATGGCTATTAATAAACGTGGACAATTTCAGCAAGCTGTCTTCGTAAATATCTTCGTACGTTTTGTATTTTTCTTTCTTGTTGCTTTCTTAAATTTTCATTTATATATTTCTTAATTTCCATAGTTCATCATTTTTTAAAACAATTTATTTTCTTTTAAGATTAGATTTCACAATTTTCTTTCTTTTACAATATCATTGACGGTTTGTACTTTTCCTTGTTGTTGCTTTCTTTTTC